ACAGAGTCAAAGAAATTACAGGCCACATACTTTTGTTAAGTTTGCAGAAGGCAAAGGTGGGCAAATTATAGTCCATGGGCCTGCGTTTTATGGGAACACAGTCATACCCATTTGATTCCATATTGTCCATGGCTGTTTTGTGCTACAACAGCAAAGCAACAGAGACCATATGGTTCACAAGCCTAAAATGTTTACTATCTGGCTTTATAAGAAAAAAGTTGTCTGTCCCCTGGCTTAAATAAAGTCACCAAGAGATAAAAAGCAAGCTGGTAGTATACAGGAAAAGTATGGAAGAGAAAAAAAGCCCTTACAGAAAATGAAACCGTATTAGCAACAAAATGTAAAATAAATGTTACGAAAACAATCCGGCGAACAGGCTGGAGGAAATCACATAAAATGATACAAAACAAAGCCCAAAAATGATTAGCTAGGAGATAATAGATGTAAAAGATAGAACAAAAGAGATACAACATGTACATAATTGGTGTGCCTGAAAAAGAAAGCTAATAGACGAGATTAGATATAGTCAAATATAAATAGAAGAAATAAATATATAACTAAAATCTGCAAATTGAAAAAACAAATGATGTCCTAGGAAACTGATTCAGAATAATTAACACTAGACTAGGAGCTATTCAATATTATATTGTTTCCAGGGAAGACAAATGTTAACCCCAACCTTGGAGTTTGTAGCTGTGTATTCCTGGCCAGAGAGAAAAGATCAAGGGCAAAACAAATTTTGACATCACCTCTTTCTTTTAGTACATTTGGTGTCAATGTAGAATGATATGTTAGCAAAGGGCTATATGGCTTTCTAAATTGTGTTCTTTTATTTTTGGTGCTTTTATTATCTTTTTTTCTGATCAGTAATGTTGTATCTTTAAAATGTCTGAAAGCCCCTTAACCTGAGGAGTCCACATGCCACAGTGCTTTTGCCCAGGAAGAAAATAGAGTGAGAGAGCCATAAGGCCAGACTTCGGTTTTATACTGTTTGTTTTTAACTAGCATAGTTTTATTAATTAAAACTAACCCAAAAACCTAAGACCTACCTATGTGGATTCCATAAAGCATAAGACCCGGCTGACCACAAAACTACTGGAGGTCCTGACTCAAACTGAATACCAGGCTGCCGTCATGAAAACAGCTACTAAATAATGTTTAGAGATGAAATGTGTATGAATGGATTCAGACTGGGCATCCTTTCTCTGAAACTTTAATTTCCATTTGTTCAAATTTCCATGATTTTTGTTAGATATTTCATGTATGTTCTCCCCTGAAACTGTGTGTGTGTGTGTGAATGTGTGTGTGTGTGTGTGTGTGTGTAGTTTTAAGATTTCTGTGACAGTAGCACGTATAGCACAAAGGACCAGGCTGAAAAAGCAGCAGTCAAATACACATAGTTAAACATAACCTTCATTAACAAATCTTGTTATTCATGGATGCCAGCTCAGTTAATAAGTGTTTGTGGCTTGGATACTGAACTGGAGGTTAATGTTGAGGTGGAAGCAATTGTAGAATCCAGATTTTTAAGACAAACACGCATCCCACCACAGAAGGCATGCATGGAATCAGGTGTAGTCAGTCGGCTGTGGTGATGCACTTTGGGTGTTCTCCTTCACTGGTCCAGCTGTGAACAGCACCAGAGCTGGCAACTTCCCAAGCAGAGGAGTGGCCCTTCCCAAGCCTCCTGAACCACTTCTGCATTCACCCCTCAAGTGACCAAATGGCAGACTGTGAGAGAAGTGTATTTTTATTTGACATTTTAAAATTAAAGTTTTATTTTGACTTCTGTAAATTGGATTTGTAGAACAGATAGATTAATAACATAGTTACAAAAGAGTCCATGTCCAAATTTAAGTAATATTTATACACATCTTGACTTGGCCATAAAAGGTCAATGATATGGAGTCAGGTTTCCCTGAAACTACATTTGCTTAAAAGCAAAATGAATGCAAGACGTGATTTGAAAACTGCACTGTTTTTTGGCAATTAAGGGACATTTTTACATTAAAGAATCTGAAGCCCTGGCACATTCCTTAACTGATTTGCTTTCCTCTCTGTGAGATGGATTAAAAAACAGGAGACTTTTTTCATGTGCACTGGTAATCAGGTCAGGACTGAAAGCAAATAAGTATTTGAGGAAGTGGACAAGTCAGTCACATCCTCAAAGGACACTGAAAGAATGCAGGAAGACTGTCTTTTTCCTCCTTCATTCCTTGAGAGACAAAGAGAGAAGACTGACCTCTAAGACATGTAACCTCAACACTATTTCTCTAGTCAGAAGCCAAAGCTGGGTGGCAATTTGATCACAGAGTGTGGCCTGGCCGTGTCATGGGTCATGTGGTCCAGCATGTGAACAGGAAGGTGAGAACGGGTGAACTTTTGCCTCAGTTGTGCCATCCATCAGAGAATAAATGGAGCACATCAACGTGTGCAGCTGTATAAGGAGGCGGATGGCTGCGTCCTTCTCACACAGGGGCCTTTGTCTCCTGGACATGATCTAGCATTACGACGGGATGCACTCAGCCTCGGCTTTGTGGCGAACTGCTAACCCATTATCACACCAGAACACAGGACCATTTATCTTCTAATCCAGAGTGTCACCTGTTCTTCATTTACCAGTCAATAACCATTAATTATGCTCAGTGGAAATTTAAACAAAGCCCTTTCCCTCTGTTGAAACCAGTAAACTATTCAGTAATAACAAATAAATCTGGAGTTGTATATCCTTTCTCTTCTCATTCCCAGACTGGAGTCTGGTACAATATGAACTTTAGAGGAAATGCCTAGAAATTGATAGGTCAAAGGCCATAGATAGTCTGATGGAGAAGAAAAGGGCAGATTCTTGGCTCTTGCTCTGGTAAAAGGAGAGGCCCCGACTGATCCCCAGATTCCTGCCGGGAACAAAACAAGCACCAGGGGATTCGGGCCGGTGTTTAAAGTGATCCACCATTAACTGACAGTCATATTTTCTCCTTTCATTTTTAGCAAGCTTTCTTTCACATGACTAAAAATAGGACTTTTTTGAGACCACTGTAACACAGTGGACTGTTTCTAAAGAAATAAAATAAGCTGAGTGGTCCTGAAAGACCTATTTGAAATGTTATTTTTAGAATGGAAATTTGAGTCAAACACATTTAAGTGTATTTACCTCCTCACATCTAATCCCGCAGAAGAATGTTCAGATAGGAATTCTAGCCAGAAGCGTAATTTAATTTTTCCTAAAAATTCTGAAGGTATTTTGGCAAAAGCCAAAATAAGTTTGTGTGTGTGTGTGTGTGTGTGTGTGTGTGTACGCTTGTGCCTCTGTGTGTGTCCACGAATACACTCGTGTGCCCACTTGGGTGAAGTGGGACGCTCAGCTTAGTTGGGAAGCGTGCCAAAGGGCGGGCTGGATCCCAGTGAAGCCACCATACTGTGTGCACTGGAATTCATTCCAATGGCTAGACTTGGGACCCTGGTCCGGGACCTAGAGAGAGGTCAGCATTCCCAGACAGATGAGGGGACAGGGCGTTTCAGGCCACGGAAACTTCTCTTGCAGGCACAGACCTGCAAGGAGCAGCTGCTCACTAGGCCTCTGTTCATGCGCACAGGCCTTGGTGCCCTTTTAAAAAGATACCTTGGGGAGCTTCTTGACAAATGGTACTGGGCCTCGGCTTAGCCAATAGGGCCTGGGCTGCATTTCAAATCTCATTGCTCTCCTCATCCCCCAGTGTTTAACAGCATTCAGAGAGCTGCCACGCCATGGTAGACTCCATCTGCTTGTGTGGACTATGCCAAAACAGTAAACAGCTTGTATTTCATGCCTTTTCTTTTTTTTTGAGAAGGAGTCTCACTCTGTCAACCAGGCTGGAGTGCAGTGGCCTCGGCTCACTGCAACTTCCACCTCCTGGGTTCTAGCAATTCTACTGCCTGAACCTCCCGAGTAGCTGGGACTATAGGTGCATGCCACCACGCCCAGCTAATTTTTGTATTTTTAGTAGAGATGGGGTTTCACCATGTTGGTAAGGCTGGTCTTGAACTCCTGACCTCAAGAGCTACCACGCCCAACCTATTTCATGCCTTTTAAAAGCTCAGCTGCCTGGGTGTAGTGACTCATGCCTGTAATCCTTGCATTTTGGGAGGCTGAGGCCGGTGGATTGCCTGAGCTCAAGAGTTCAAGACAAGCCTGGGCAACACGGTGAAACCCCGTCTCTACTAAAGTATAAAAAAGTAGCCAGGTGTGGTGGCGCATGCCTGTATTTCCAGCTACTCGGGAGGCTGAGGCGGGAGAATTGCTAGAACCCAGGAGGCGGAGGTTGCAGTGAGCCAAGAGCGTGCCTGTGTACTCCAGCCTGGGCAGCAGAGCAACTCTGCCTCTAAAAAAAAGAAAAAAGCTCATGCTTTTTTTGCATCCTTAACATTACCTGGGATATTAACGGTAAAGATTCTGAATGATAATCTCCTTTTTTATTTTTTATGAGATGCAGTTTTGCTCTGTCGCCAGGCTGGAGTGCAGTGGCACAATCTCGGCTTGCTGCAACCCCCACCTACTGGATTCAAGTGATTCTCCTGCCTCAGCCTCTCTAGTAGCTGGGACTATGGGCACACACCACCACGCCCAGCTAATTTTTGTATTTTTAGTAGAGACGGGGTTCCACCATGTTGGCCAGGCTGGTTTCCATGTCTAGACCTCGTAATCCACCCACTTTGGCCTACCAAAGTGCTGGGATTACAGGTGTGAGCCACGGCGCCCAGCCCTAAGAGATAGCCTCTAGACCTCTGAGTCCACTCCTCCATGGCTGTGGCCCAGGCCTCCATACCAAGATATTCCTCATATGATTCTGATGCTTGGTAAAAGTTGGGAGCCATTGCTGTATTGGTTAGAATATGGTACGAATTTCATGCTCATGTTCCAGCTGTCCGTGTCCATATCTGATTAAGTGCACTGGAAAGCATTGTGTTTCCAGAGTGGCCATCGAGTGTGACTTTGACATGAACTTGCCTCTCTTTCCCTCTAGGCGATGTGGTTGATGTTGCAGAATGATGAGCCAGAGGACTTCGTAATAGCTACTGGAGAGGTCCATAGTGTCCGGGAATTTGTCGAGAAATCATTCTTGCACATTGGAAAAACCATTGTGTAAGTATACCTGAGAAATGATTGCTTCTAGGTTACTGGTAGTATGCACCTGAGCTTGCTGTGAAGCCTCGGTTCTCGTTGTCATCTTCCCCCTTTACTCTCTTGAAGAGCAGTACAGAAAGTTTTAGTGTGGAATGGGAACTTTGCTCTGCATACAACCCTACTTGTGTTATTTGTCAAATGTTGTCATCATCTAAGCCAAGTTTTTCAAAATGTCTTTTATCTTTCTTCTAAGATGTTTTTAATTTTATTTATTTATAAATATTATTTTTGTTTTTTAAGTTTTAAATTTTTTATCACAATGTAAACACCTTCTTTTATTGTAATTTTATTGTGGCTAATTCTGCTCTTACCAAATCATTGTGATAACGTTACATAATCTTTTTTAATACTTTTATATTTTAAAAAATTGAAACCATCAAAAACTTACAGAAAGGTTACAACCAACTAGCCTTATTCTCTGAACCACTGAGAATAAGCTGCTGTCCTGATGCTTCATCACCTTGAATTTTTGTGTGTATTTTCTGCAAACACAGTGACATTCTCCTGCAGAAACATAACACAACTATTAAACTCAGGAAATTCATAGTGATAAATTATTATCAGCTAATTCACAGGTCCTATGTGAGTTTTGGCAGTTGGGCCAATACTATATGCCTAAAAGGTCTAGTTTATAATCATGCTCTACATTTACTGGTTGCATTAGATGAATTTTGAAGCCAGATTTTTATTGGAGCATTTGAAAGATTTGTGAGAAATCGTTGTAGATAAAAGATACTTTTTTTTTTTATTTTTGGTAATTTGACATTGTGGTAAAATATAGATTAAAAATTTACCAGTTTAACCATTTTTAAGTGTGTAATTCAGTGTCATTAAGTACATTCACAACGTTATGCAACTGTCACCACTATCCATTCCTAGAACTTCCTTACAATTTCCAACAGAAACCTCTGTTCTCATTAAATAACTCCTCATTCTCTTGCCCCTCAGCACTTGATAACCTCTATTTTCCTTGCTGTTTCAGTGTATTTGCCTATCCTGGGTACCTCATGTAAGTGGAATTATGAAATATTTGGTTTTTTGTATCTGGCTTTTTCACCTACCATAATGTTTTCGTAGTTCATCCATGATATAACATTTTATTCCTTTAAACAAAATTATTATTATTTTTAGAGACAGTCACGCACTGCTGCCCAGGTGAGAGTGCAGTGGTATGTTCGTAGCTCACTACAGCCTTGAACTCTTAGGCTTAAGTGATCCTCCTGCCTCAGTCCCCTGAGTAGCTGGCACTACAGGGATATGCCACCATGTCCGGCTAATTTTTTTAAATTTTTTATAGAGATGGGGTCTCTCTCTGTTGCCCAGGCTGGTCTTAAACTCCTGGTTTCACATGTCTTGAGCTCTCATACGTATTTGCTATTAACAAAGTAGTTAACTGATTGAAGACATTTGTCAACAATGAATTGAAGAGATAAAGAAAGTGTAGAAACAATAAGGTTGGGCAACTGATTATATTGCAGAAAGAAACAGTAAAGAAAGTCACACTAGGCCAGGCGCTGTGGCTCACACCTGTATTCCCAGCACTTTGGGAGGCTGAGGTGAGTGGGTCACCTGAGATCAGGAGTTCGAGACCAGCCTGGCCAACATGGGGAAACCCCGACACTAGTAAAAATACGAAAAGTTAGCCAGGCATGGTGGCTCATGCCTGTAATCCCAGCCACTTGGGAGGCTGAGGCAGGAGAATCCCTTGAACTTTGGAGGCGGAGGTTGCAGTGAGCCGAGATCGCACCGTTGCACTCCAGCCTGGGCAACAAGAGCAAAACTCCATCTCAAAAAAAAAAAAAAAAAAAAAGAAAGTCACACTAACATTTTATGCCTGCGTGATCAGAAGAAACCTAACGGAGTCATTTGGCAGAGACAGGCAGTGGCAGGAGGAAGAAAAGCTTGTTGAGGTTCATTGTATAGAGGAGGCGGATCTAGTGAGATATCTTACCCTCTCTGATACCTGACCCCTTCTGGGAAGAACCTAGCCGTGTGTCAGAGTTGGAACATCTTTTTACTGGTTCCAACTTCTGTAGAGCAGTGTTTCTCATACTCTGATGTACTGGGAAGCATTTGGGGATCATGTTAAAGTGCAGATTCTGAATGGGTAGGTCTGGGTAAGGCCAGAAATCCGGAATTCCTGACAGGATTCCAGGTGATGTGATGCCGCTGGTCCACATTTTGAATAGCAAAGCCTGAGAAAATGGGAGGCTTAAGTTTGAAATGAACTCTGACAGTTACCCTTATCACTTTCTACCTTATTTTTAGTCATTAGTGATTTTACCTTCCCTAGTAGACTAGATTTGGATCTGATTCCTTTCTATACTTTACGTTGTGTCTAGCACAGTGTCAGACTAATGGCAAGTAAGAGAGGTTTTCATGAATCAATAATGGAAATAGAACTTTTAGAAGATGGGAAATTTGATTTTAGGGTTTCTGTTTGGAGGGGGCTGTTGCTCAAACATGAAAGAACAAAAATTACAGGGCTTCTTGTGAGAATAGGTCTGGACTTCCTGTTCCTGTCATTAATATGTTAAGGAATACTCCAGACAAGATGAAGACATCAAAAAGCAAGAGTCGTACCTGCTTTTTCATTTTCCTATTCCTGTACTGTGGAAAGAAGTAGACCAAAAGATGACTGGGACCTCCAAAGCATACCATCAAAGTTTCTGGAAGTTCCCCTGGTCACACCATGACTAAATAGGTCTCTAGTATGAGATGGGGTGCTGTGCTTTGGTAAGGGAAGTCATGAAGAGCCTGAGGAACCACATGGTTTGTTCAGTAATCATTAGGCACCCAGTCCCCCCATTCCTGCACAATGTTTTTATGCAGAACAAATTTGTTTAGCTTTCAGGCTATGAATTGACAATAGTTATTCCTAAAGTGGGAACTATATTGAGACAGTATATTGAGGAGTCAGGTTTTTCATACAAACTAATTTATTAAGTATTTTACTTACTTTAAAAATTACAGTAGGCAATCTGTCAAAAATAGCCTAAGAAATCAGAAATGGCCCTTGAGCTTATTTGTTTGGAAGCGTTTAGCATGCTTTCCTCTAATTTACATGTTAAAACATTTGACATTGTTTAAATCCCGAAAATAAGTCAAAGTCCATAATACCATGATCAGTGTCTTGGTGTGTAGTAGACTCAGGGTAATTTGGTTTTTGAATTGTAAGATGGAGAGCAAAAGGTTTTTAATTAGAATCACTTTGTAAAAGTCATTTTCTGTTCATTTACATATTTTCTTTACTGAGCCACCTGATTTAGAAAAACAAGTCTAATATTTGAGAACTTGAGAACACGGATAAAAGGGAACTCTTACATACTTCAGTGGGAACGTAAATTGGCAAAGCCATCATGGATAACAGTATGGAGTTTCCTCAAAATATTGAAAATAGAACTCCCATATGACCCAGCAATCCAACCACTAGGTATATCTCCAAAGGGGATGAAATCAGTATGTCAGAGATGTCTGCATGTTCATGTTTATTACGGCATTATTTACAATAGCCAAGATATGGGGCCAACCTAAATGTCTAATAACAATGACTGGATAAAGAAAATATGGTACATATACACAATAGGATACTATTCAGCCATAGAAAAGAATAAAATCCTGTCATTTGTGACAACGTGGATGAATCTAGAGGACATGGTGTTAAGTGAGATAAGCCAGACACAGAATGACGAATACTGAATGATATCACTCCTGTGAACTCTAAAGAAAGATGATACAGAAGCAGGGAGTAGAACAGTGCTTTTCAGAAACTGAGGAAGGGATAGGGGAAAGAGGCTGGGGAGATGACGGTAAATGGTTACAAAGTAACAATAAGATAGGAGAAATAAGTTCTGGCATTCTGTTGTACAATAGGGTGACTAAGGTTAACAATACCTATTGTGCATGTCAAAATAGCTAGAAGAGAGAATTTTAATGTCACCAGAAAGAAATATGTGCACGAGCCGATAGATACACTGACTGCCATGATTGGATCATTTTACAACATATACATGTATCAAAATATCAAAAAGCAACCCATAAATGTATACAATTACAATGTGTCAATTAAAAACAAAAATAAGAACACTCAGAAAAAAGAGATACTGCCCAATTATTATTTTGTGAACATTTTGTCTCAATATACTTCCAATTTTATGAAAAAATATTGACAATTCATGGCCAAAAGTTAAATAAATCTGTTTTACATAAAAACATTGTGCTTTCCAATTTTATGAAAAAATATTCACATTTTGTGGCCAAAAGCTAAATAAATTTGTTTTGCATAAAAACGTTGTGCAGGAAATGAATGACATTAATTATAGAAAATTTAACATGAGAAGGCAAAAATAAGATTTTTTTCAAATTTTACATATAATATGGGGAGTTGGAAAATAGCATAAAGTTAAGAAGCAAGAAGATATAAAATAATCTTTGCAATATAATTTGATCATGTTGATTCTCTTTTGGTCTTCTATTTCATTTTTTAGGGAAGATACCTCATTTTCAAAAAAAAATTGGCCTTAATTCTTTTGTGGACTTAAAAATGTATTGGTGGATTGATTATGTTTGGGATTTAGGTTTTTTATACCTTTCAAATAAAATTTATGTTGCTTCTAAGCAACCCTCCTTTTTTTTTTTTTTTTTTTCTTTTTTTTTGAGACTGAGTCTCACTGTTACCCAGGCTGGAGTGCAGTGGCACAATCTCGGCTCACTGCAACCTCCACCTCCCCGGTTCCAGTGATTCTCCTGCCTCAGCCTCCCAAGTAGCTGGGATTATAGGCGTGCACCACCACACCTGACTAATTTTTGTATTTTTAGTAGAAATGGAGTTTTACCATATTGGCCAGGCTGGTCTTGAACTCCTGACCTCAAGTGATCCATCGGCCTTGGCCTCCCAAAGTGCTGGGATTACAGGCATGAGCCGCTGTGCCCAGCCCCAAAATTTTAATTAAAATGTA